GTGGCCTTCTGTTTTCTACGATACTTTCCATAGTTTTTGATGCGGACATATTGCTGTTTATGGAATTATGTTTCGTTAATGGGATTATAAGCGTCATTAAAATGCTTAATACTGATATGCATTATTATGCTTTCATTAATTTGCACTTGAAAAATATGTTTGGGCATGTAAAAAATTTCATTTAGGCAAGCATGTTGAAGAGTATTTTGGCATGTATAATATAAGGCATGTATAAATTTTGATATTTTCCTAGATCTTCTATACTTGAAAGTTTTTGAACAATGAAACTGAAACAAATAAAATTTAGCGAGAGACAAAACAGTTTGATGAAATTTCATTATAAATGCTTATATATAAATGTCGTGTACAGTTTTGCCATAAAATAAAGTAGAAAAAATTCCAAAATTCTGAACAATAATGTTTCTTTTTTTAGAATTGAAATCACTCTATATGCCGAGAAGGTACATATTGGTTCTCCTTGGAAGTCTTGGTATATTTAATGTTTTTGCCATGAGGACGAATCTCAGCGTGGCTATTGTGGCAATGGTCAACCAGACAACAAATGCTCCTCTGCCTTCACTGAATGCTTCTTTCAACCAAGTTGCAGAATGCCCCAACTTGGTCCAGGATGAACCTAAAAAAAGCAGTATGATTTTTACGGTAAGACATAAAAAATAGTTTTCTTGTTTAATACTGTACTCTTAAATAATTGTTTTCTTAAAGTCCCTATTGATTAATCTCTTTCATTGTTAAGACGTTAAATGGCAAGGTAATTTTACATGGCTTGCCTGTCTGGTCAAACGGTAAATAACTACAAACTAAATTTGCAAATATTAGACAAATTTTGCAAGTTTTTTTAACGGTTTAGCATGGCTTATCAGAAAAAAGTGGTGAATTGCATAAGCCAACAAATTGTTTAGAAATAGTAGTGGGAAAAAATCGACTGAACTTTTTTGGACTAACAGAGATGCCAACTTGCTCCGGACAGCAAATATACATTTTAAAGTGGTACTTTATCAATTGTGATTCTAGGTTTAATAAATTCAATTTAGTAGATTTTTATCCATCACTATTTCTAAATAATTCGTAGGCTTATATAATTCATCACTTTTTAGTACTTACGTCATGGTATGCCTTTTAAAAATCAATCAAAAATAGTCAAATATTTGCAAAATTTACTTTGTAGTTATTTACCGTTTATTTCATTATTTTGGCGTGTCCGGAGCAGTTGGCATCTCTGGACTAAGAATAACAATTAATACACTACCCCTTGAAAATATTTATTCACTGTCTGGAGCAAGTTGGCAACTCTGTGTATTTAAAAGAAACTATTTTTGTGTGCTCTATATAGCATTAATTTCTTCAAACTATTTTAGTAACGATAATAATATAAAAAAATTAAGATTTTACTCGAATCGAGTGTTTCTAATAATCTTGGCTTCGCCGGTCACCGGTGACCCCGATGGCATTCAACATGTTAATATCGTTCACTTGATATACGTAAGTGTTTATATTTTATTGCATAGATAAAAGTATAAGAATGAATGGTCAACTATGTAAAGTAAGCTAATGTTTTTTATTTGAAAGTAAATTTAATTTGTCGTTTGAAATAATATTACAGTATATAACAATTATAATTTGGACAAAAATTTTGATTTAAAAATTAATAACGTAAACAAAAATAACAATTCTGTGCACTTTTAATCGTCCTAGTTATAATGAATAAAGCCTAAACCTCAAGCATATCCTAAAATTATTGCTTAGAATACAAATAATAAAGTATATATTTTTTGTTTCCATAAATTTATTATTTCATCATTTTTAATTTTCGTGAATAAGACCATTAATGATTTTGATGAATAATTCATAAATTATTTTAGGGTGAACAATTCAACTGGGAAACTTCAACACAAGGAGCTATCTTGGCGGCCTATTACTATGGGTATGTGATCACTCACGTACCTGGTGGCATATTGGCTGAGAAGTATGGTGCCAAATGGGTATTTGGCGGAGGAGTTTTGGCTACATCTATCTTCACCCTTTTATCCCCTTTAGCTGCACATCTGGATAAATATGCTTTAGTTGCTATCCGTGTTCTTCAAGGACTAGCTGATGTAAGTACTATAATTTACACAACTTTCAACGCCGAAAGTAAAATAAATGATAGGTATTAATAATAATTTAAACATCAAAATTTTGTAGAAAGCAGTGATCTATTAGTGATCATCCACGGTTGCAATTTATTTACATCTTTGGGACTGGCGAGCATATATGGCAACGTTACTTTTAAAAAGTAACGAGTAAAAGTACAAGTATTTTTAAAAAAAGTAACGAGGAAAAAGTAAAAAGTTCTTGTTTTTAAAAAGTAACGAGTAAAAATTACAAGTAATAAACAAAGAAAGTAACGATTCAAAAGTACATTTCTAGGAAATCGAAAATTCAAAGTAACCTAAAATTTTATTGAATAATATTCTTATGTTCCTAAATGTTTTTGCAAAATTGTTGTTATTTATTTAATCATTTTTAATTTTGAAAGTTATGGATATTAATTTATTTTTAAATTCGAAAGAATATTGTAATATAATTTAATAATATAATCGTATAATATAATTTTAAAATCAAATGTAATTTTAATATCAAACTTTTTATGGATTTGCACGAAAAAGAAATTTTATCTATAGATTTTAATTTTTAGTCTATTATTTTTATTTATATGAATTACCATTGATTTAAAATTGTTTTACTCTATAGAAACGCGTTTTAAATGCACAAACATAAACAAAGCAAACACGGGTTTTCAGATAGCTTTGTGATCTTTGAGTTAGTAAAAAATAATTGAATGTGCAGTATAAGTTGAAACAGAAGTTATTTAAACACGAAGTTAGCTGTGATTGCATATATATTGCACATTAATTTTATAAATTAAAGAAACATAAGAATTTCTTTTAACTTGTTTTTTTTTTTAGAAAGCTTACGGAGTTTTAGAAAAAAGTAACGATTTCATTCGATACTTCTGTTACAAATACTTGTACTTTTTCCCTAAAAAAGTAACGAAAGTACAAATAAAAGTACCAAATTTAAAAAGTAACGAAGTACAAGTAAAAGTACGTACTTTTTACTTGTACCGGCGGTACAAGTAACGAAAGTAAAAGTACTGCCATATATGCTGGCGAGTCTGAATGCAGTGGTTGAAAATCAGACACAGGATGGAAAAATATAAAAAGCTGTAGTTTTCATGAGGGCATGGCTAATATGACAGTCCTTTTTTTGCTTTTACCTTACTTCTAACATAACTAATCAATGCTCCTAGTCCTAGTAGTGATTGCAATTTGGTCAATTTGGTCATCAAAGTGCTCCTTAACCCATAAATCTTTTACTTTAAAAAAAAAAGGGGTAACACATTGTGATCACCTGACCATTTGGTTGTTGATATTTAAAGCTTGAGCACCTTACTGGAAGAAATTATATAATTTGAAACTGAAAAGAAGTATCTAGCTCAAAAACTTCCAAATTGTTGTCTGTAAAGGAGGAGGACCTAATCAGTATTAGCTCAAAGTACAAAATGCACATTTTCTTTAAAATTTGAATTAACTAATGGGAAATAAAAAAGATTAAAATATTATTGCCTCATCTGACAAATAAACTAATAAAGAAATAGTGTGGCTACCAGCTTTATCTATTTTTCCCTGATGGTCAAAAACCTGAAAATGCATACATGACTCGCCCGTCTCGAAAAGGTTAAAGATCTTGTATAAAAATTTGAGCAAATTTACTAGCAAAATAAATGTTGAAGCATAGACAATATTATTTTTGTGATCAAGCCTTCTTAAAGAGGCCATAACTCTCTGTATCACTCATAATCAATTACGTTTAAAAACACAAAGCAGGTATATACTTCAGTATCCTAATTAGTAATTTTTATTGGTTATTCTGCACTTGCATAGTATCAAATCGGTGGCAAATTTTTGCAATTAGATTGTGGCGATACAGTTTATGAAAATGATTACACGCGCTGTCAGTGTAGCATGATGTTTAATTGTATATCTTCAGGGCGTGACAACCCCCTCCATAACAGCTTCCATCAGCAAGTGGGCACCCAAAGTTGAGAGGAGCAGACTATCTACAATCATCTACACTGGTGTGATGGCAGGGAATGTGGCATCCCTCTCTGTGTCCGGTTTGCTTTGCAGTACAGATTTCCTTGGAGGATGGCCTTCTGTTTTCTACACTTTCGGTATGATTTTTTTAAAAATCTTTTAAACATTTTAAAGACCATTGAACCATTATATCGTTTATAGTTGCTACATCATAATATTGTACTAAGTTGAACCATAATATCGACGATTTTAAACTTAGTTATAAGATAGCGTGGTTCAACTTCAATGATAACACCATTAAATTTGTCCCTTATTAAGAATGCAACAATATCCCGCCCACATTTTATGTAAATTGATTCTCTTTTGAATTGGCTTCTATCTATATTATATAAAACGCTAATACGTATGTATCAATAAAACCGATGATATTTCTTTTCTCGCGCTGGCAACAGTTTTCATTTTTAATTGACAGGATTCGGCGCGCAAGAGCACGTAGAACGATTACTGTGGGGTTGTGACGTGGAGTACTTGTGCACACATTGCAAGTGTTTAGGATATGCAAGTATAGAGATAATTTCAAGTATCCATCTGCGAAGATAATCGAATGTATCTAGAATGTAGAAAATCGACTTCGCCAACAAAATGTTAATAATATTTATATATTATTTAAATAATTAATGACTTGTTATGTTTATGTGTAACTATATATAATTATATGCTTACATCCAAGCATCTTTTTGTTTAAATAATCAGCCCTTTTAAAGGATATAGCATTTGCGAAACCCGATTCGACAATCTCCACGTGGTGCACATTGGTTAAATGCTTATACCGTGACGGTATTAGATTTTTGCTGGTTTTCAGTATTTATGTTTGAGGCTTCGTATCTTGGAAACTATCAGTTTTTGGACGTTGTGTCAGTGAGAACTTAGGATCAGAATTTTTTAAACTGTAACCTTTTCATTTACAATTTTCAATAAATTTTACCGAGAATAAATTTTTATTAGATTTGTGTGGGATTTTTTGCTCCGTATTACGGTTCAAGATATAGATAGTATGGTTGAAACAATCTGTCGGAGAATGTATATTTTAAGAAATGTATGATTACAATATCATACATACGAGGAGGTTAATAACAAACATTAAACAAGTTTATTTCTCCATAATATTTAACGATTTCGTAAACGCGGAGAATATGAAAACATTATGCCGGCCAATAAGGCATAGGGGGTACGATTGTTCTTGTTTTTCAGTGACGCCATCTATCACTAGGAATTAGAGTTCTGCCACACCCATACGTCACACCCGTTTATAGGGCGGACCCATTCATTCATCCACAGATCATAATTTTGACCTGTACCGGAGAACGATCAATCACCAATTCAGTACCCCCAGAGGTATTGATTTGTTATGTTAACATGGAGGACTTTGCGACTCGACAGATTTAACGTGCACCGATAATCATTTACTACGTTCTCACAAGCGTGAGTCCAGCACCTTGCCAGCCAGGCTATCCCGGCCCATATGAAAACCTTATAAAATAATTATTTAGTTCCAAAATTTATCTGCTCAAATATAGCCTAGTATATGTAGAATGTAATGCGAAGTTACAAAAAAGAGTTTATAAAAATGTAAATAATTTTCTGTTGTTGGAAATTGTTTCTGAAGTTTTTTGGAAAAATGTGTCAGCAAATTTGACCATTTTAATATGAGTTGGATAGGAACAGGCTACAAGGAATGCCATTGATAGTACGTTTAAATATCCAATGATATTTTATGTGAAAGATGAAAAAATGAAATCCCAATCGTTAAAAATTTATTATTGTATCTTTGCGTCCATTTTAATTTCAGAAGTTACATCAGAATTATATAAGTTTATTTTTTAATCTTTTCTGCTTATACTACTTGTATTGTAAATGTCAAATTAACCATTGGCCTATATTGTCGGCTCATGGCTGGTCGTAGCTCACACACCACTAGAAATGTAATACTATTTGCTTGTAAGTTTCACCAATTTTTAACCACCACTGTTATTTAATCCACGAAGACACAAAGTTAGCTTTTTCAATAATAATAGACAGAAAACTTAATTGCTAGTGTGTTGACTATGAATATACTACCAAACATCTGATATTTATACATATAAAATACTTTCTCCAGTGGTAGAGTAAATAATCTATGAAGCAAATTGAGTTTTCATAAAACTTTAATTGGAAGAAAAAAAAATGAATGTTCGCCTATCTAACCCTTTACCATTTCCTATACTTATATTTTTTAAGGCAAAAATTCAACAGATATTTTTATTTCTTTAATAAATACATGGAACCTATAAAATATTTGCATCGAACAAAAATATTAAGTTGGGCTTCTTTTCTTTTTTGATAACATTATAATAAACTAGAAAAGCATTTTCTGACATATATATTTTAATACTATTAATTGTACTTCGTATTTACTAATATTTTTATTACTGAATAGACTAATATTTGAAGTTATGTATTGTTTCAGAATGCTACCTTTGGTCTTTTAACATTTTTTTTAATTCTGGTTTTAGGTACAATAGGCGTGATTTGGTTTTTCTTTTGGTGCTTCTTAATGTATGAAACTCCTTCGGTTCATCCCACAATCTCCAAAGAAGAATTTTTATACATCGAACAAAACAAAGACGAAGAATCCAAAGAGGTTAGTTGAAACCAAACTTTGTCAATGTTCTGGCAATTAAACTCTCAAAAACATGCTTGCAGATTTGTTTAACAAAGAAAGTAACTGTTTTTATTCTCCTATGAAAAAATAAGAACTTATGTGAAATCCATAAGATAAAGAACGTCTATCAAAATAATTCGCGTCTTATTTTACACACGCACTTAATCTACAGTGCGCAAAATAGAAAAGGACCACCCTGAATAACTTTTAATCTAATAATCGGATTTTCACGTTTTAGGACGAGTTGGAGGGGGTGATCTCAAATATGCTAATTAATTAGCGCAGACTTTTTTTTTAAATTACGAAATCAGACACAAAAAATACTTTCTCTGAATAATCATCATCATATCTGGCTAGACAGCCCAGGGTGGGCCAGTGCCTTCCTTTGAATTCGAATCCACTTCTCTCTACTTTTGACACTTGTTCGCCAGTTTTTCTCCTTTAGAGTAAGGAAATCAGTCTCAGCTAAATCCAGCCATCTCAGCCTGGGTCTACCTCTTTTCCTGTTCGTTAGGGATTTGTGTAACAGGATTTTTTTTAAAATGTGAGTCATCATTCCTTCTGAAAATGTGAGCTGCCCAGTTCATTCGATGTGTTTTAATGAATTTCACAATATCTGGCTCTCTGTAGATTTTGTACAGTTCAGTATTATATATCGTCTTCTCCAGGAATTATTTATTTTTATCCCACCAAGGATGGCCCTCAAAACTTTTCTCTCAAAAATGGCAATTTTATTTTCACCAGCTTGAGTCAGGTTCCAGGTTTCAGAGTATCGGCCTAATTAATGTTTTATAGAGTAAAAGTCTTGTATTTTTTGATAAAAGAGAGGATTTGAAAAAACTGAATAAACCTACCAGTCGGATTTCTGATTCCCAAAATATAATTGGTTGTCGCAAATTGGAAAATATGGTCCCCTTAGTTTGGCCAAGAGAGCGGTTCAAAGTTTGGAAAATTGCTACGCTAAAGGTAAATTTAACATTAACTTTAGGTCGCTCTCCTGAAAAAACTATGGGAACTAAATTTTTAAATTGCGTGATCCCCCTATATTTTGAATCCGTCAGAAGTTTGAATCCGTCAAGAAAACGGTATGCTTATTCAGAGAAAGTACATTTTGCGTCTGATTTCGTAGCTTAAAATATCATACGCACTAATTAACTGGTATATTTGAGGTCATCCCCTCGAACCACTAAGATTGAGTCCTAGAGCGTGAAGATTCGAACATTAGATCAAAAGTTAATTAGGGTGGTCCGTTTTTTATTTTGCGCACTGTACTATAACTGCTTATACTATACTTACACATTATTGACTAAGTGCAAGAATATTGATACAATATAAAGTACAATATAAATTGTTTAATGAATGTCTACGAATATTATAAAGAAAACTTAAAATGTATAATTATTAACTTTTGTTTCATCAATAGTATATTAGACGTACTTTAAGTCCTATATTTACTGATTTGTTTAACTTTTACTGTTTTATATAGAAACATGTAATTCCATGGAAAGATATGTTTACATCTGTTCCTGTATGGGCTCTTATGATTGCACAATTCGGTCAAGGATTTGGTTTCTTGATTTTGCTGACAGAATTGCCCACATACTTAAGTACTGCTCTTCATTTCGATCTAGCATCCGTAAGTATTTAATAGCCTCACAGCATGGTGCAATTTCGTTTAATAAGATAATAAGATTAGGCGCAATACTTCAAATGCAATACTTCAAATGCAATACTGCAAATGCAAGCTTAATTTTTTGTTTAGTTTTATTTATAAAGACATCAGTTTCAATATATAAAGCTTACATATTTAAAGCTCAAATTAGACACAGCATCAATGAAAATTTTTAAAATTGGTAGCATAGTACAATTTCGTATGTGTAACCAAAAGCTTGATAGAAAACCTATGAATGCAAATGAAAAATGATAAAAAATTATAGCACAAAATCAAGAAAGCTATGCGTTAAGAAATTTAAAAACCAGTTTTGAATAATACAGGGTAACATTCAGCGATGTTTCTCAATATGTCGACCTCCGGCATAATAGATTTGTCTACAACGCTTCGACCATGATTTTAAAGCCCGCAAAATGATTTCCTGGGGGATTTTCTTCACCTCTTCTCTAATAGCTCTTTGAACGCCTCTCAATGTAGAAAATCTTTTCTTATTCAGTTTGTTTTTCAGATGTCCCCATAGGAAATAGTCGCATGGTGAAGCATCAGGACTGTTTGGAATCCATTGTTCTGGTCTCAGGAATTTCACTTGCTGATCTGTTAGGAATTTCTGGGTGACCTTAGATGCATGCGATGGGGCAGAGTCCTGATGGAACACAGCATCACTATTAGAGTACAATCTGCAGTAATCATCCTTAAAAAAGGGCTTTAATATCTTCTGTATGGAATACTCAAAATTTATTTTGGGCCCCAGGTTTCACAAACCGAGGTTTGGTCACACCATGGGCGGATATGCCCATCCAAACCATTACGCCTTTGACATGAGGCACCGTGGTTGATGGTGTCAAGTCTCGCCTGTTCTGTCCACGGCTAAGATATTGAACTTTAGATTTAGCATTGGTATCAGATAGATAGATCCAAGCTTCATCAGTTGTAATGAACTTTCGCCATCTGTCCTTACAGAGAAGCTTGTAGAGAGGCCATAAACGTTGCCTCCTAATCTGCACCGATCTCTCACTTAAATGATGACATTTAGGTTTTTTATGGCATTTTTTCTTCAACTTTTGTTTTAGTTGATAGCTTACAACTTGCTGACTCCCGTTAAGAGCTTTAGCCATGCTTGTCTGTGTTGGAGGATCCGGTTTTGATGTCATCTTATCAAGCTTCTGCAAATCTGATTTCTTCAATTTGCTTGACCGTCCACTTCTTTTTGGTTTTGCATTATTTTGCATCGATCCAAGTTTTGAATTCTTGATGCGACTGATATGGCTGAGTGAAATCGCAATACCTTTCTTTTTAAAATGGGTTTCTATAATTTTGTGGCTCCATCGAAGTTCTAAAAATGCTTGTACTTGACCAATTAGCTTTTTGTCAAATTTCTTCAAAAGCATTTTTGTGATTTTATGAAATAGTATTGCAATTGAAAGTCAAATAGTAGAGCTTTAGATCAGTATGCTATATATGTAAAAAGGTTTTAAAACTTTATTGGTAAATAACCACAAAAGTGATCCGTATAATTTTTTGTTACCTTGTATATACATTTCAGCATTATTTATTTACGTTTTCTAACTAATTTTTCTTTTATTTAGAATGGATTCATCTCAGCGTTGGCTTACATATTCCAAGCAATAGTAGCTTGTGTTGCATCTCTTGCTGCCGATAAGTTAAGAGAATCGGAGAAAATCTCCGCAACTGCAATTAGAAAGTTATTTAATTCTATCGGTAAGATATTATATAAGCATCTTCTTTAATTAATGTAAGCATTATAAGCGGCAAAATTATTTTTAAAAAATGTGAATTATTAACATTAAAATATGAATTTGAATGTTTCTGGGTTTGAATTTGCGATTTATTAGTGTTCAGGTTTAATGTTTCTGAGATTATATATGAGATTTATTAGTGTCCAGAAATGACTTGAATGTTTCTGAGATTATATATGAGGTTTATTAGAGTTCAGAAATGGTCTGAATGTTTCTGAGATTATATATGAGATTTATTAGTGTCCAGAAATGATTTGAATGTTTCAAAGATTATATATATGGTTTATTAGTGTCCAGAAATGACCTGAATGTTTCTGAGATTATATATGAGGTTTATTAGTGTCCAGAAATGACTTGAGTGTTTCAAAGATTATATATGAGATTTATTAGTGTCCAGAAATGACTTGAATGTTTCAAAGATTATATATGAGGTTTAACAGTGTCCAGAAATGACCTGAATGTTTCTGAGATTACATAATCATTATGGCGTTAATATATTCCTGAGATTGAACTCTCAGTTTGAGATACGACTTGAGTTCTCAGTTCTGAGCCTCAGTTTCAGATACGAGTTCAGATACGTCCTGAGGAACCCGAATACCTTCACAATTAAATATCAAAATATTTAGTTTATTCAATTTTTTCTTTCCAATTGTTACTGTGTTTTATTTTATTTCATTTTCGCTTAAATCCATCGCTGAACAACCGGACATATTTTAGTTTACTACTACCAATGCTCAATTTCGTAGCCTTGTAATTTTGAAAAAAATCTAGGAGACAATGGAACTCCCAGATCAAATATTGTGAGAAATTTGTCTTTGTGGAGGAAATTTAAATGGGCATTTGAGTTACATGGAGAGGAATACTACGGAAACCTCCCACGGTTAGCCTAACTGTAAGGGGACTCTAATCCATGATCCATCTATTACTGAGAATATTTTTTCGTAGCATTGTGGTCGGTGCTATCAGGGTAGGGAATTCGTATTGACCTGTCATCGCCAAGATTCGAAACCGCGGGTCACCGCATTGGGAAGTAAGCGCTCTAACCCCTGGGCCACAAAGGCTTCTTAGTTACTATATTGGAAAATCCATGCTATACTGTTCGTTTTTCTTAATAGTAGAGTAATCATTGCCGGATGGTCTGTTGCTATATTGGAAAAATCAGAGCTATACTTTTGTTACTAGACTGGAAGAATAAACGCTATATCTTCGTTACTTTATTGGAACAACCCTGACTAGATTTTTACTGCCATATTTTTACAGCCATTAACGCATTTTTTTATCACTACATCAGAACAGGATATTCTATATTGCTCGTCACTATCAACGAACGGTAACCTTTTGCTGATTCTTGCAATATAGTGAATTCTATTTGCGGTATCAAAACCCAAAAATATTGCACTCCATACTTTTGTAGAACAGTATTGTTTTAGTAAGCTTAAAATTTCTTTGTTTGTCACTATATTAAAACAAACAACAGTATTGGAACATTCAATGCTAGATAATTGTCACTATTATGTCACAACAAGCAACACCAAATTGTTTAGAAACATATTGATCGATATTAATAGATCAATATGTTTCTTATTTATTGATTGTTCCAATATAGCGAATTCTCTTTGCGCTAGCTTGTTGTCGGCAATTTTGCAAACGTTTCTTGTGTTTGTAAGCTTAAATTTTCTCTTGTGATTTTAAAAGCAGTCCATAACATACTCAGTAAAAGAGGCACAATTGATCTTTGCAGGTATCTTTGGCCCTGCTATTTGTTTACTCGGCATAACAGCGTCTGGCTGTCGCTTGGATATCAATGTAGCACTTCTTGTGGCTGCAATAGCTCTCGATGGGTGCATTTATTCGGGCTGCAACGTCACCCATGTTGACATGTGTCCAGGTTTCTCAGGTAATTTCATTTCTGTTTAGTTATATTTGTCGAAAATACTAATTACCTAAATAATGGAAAATAGTTACAAAAACTCAAATCCAACATAATTTTCGGTACAAGTTATTATTTATTTGACATTTATTATGTGCAGTTCTCCAAAAAAATGGACCTTCTTAAATTTGAGCGAACTTGGTTGAATACTTCCCGAGATATTGAATAAAAAAATCGTACATTTGAAATTGGATTTCTCATAAACTATTCGACCGATTTCTCTCAAGTTTTGTATTTTGTCACGCAAAATTAAATATTTTAAAATGATGTAAGAAATTGCATGCCTTACAATTCAAAATAATTTTTTGAGCAATTGTTAAATAAAATAATAAATGTTCCCTGCAATTTATTTTTTGAGTATCATTATCTTTGGATAAAAAAATTTTTCAATTGAGTGCAAAAAGTTTTCAATTTGTTTTAAAAGTTCTCGAGATATGCGATATATGCGAAAAATAAAATTAGCATTTAGGGTTCGACACTTTGAACTGATCCCCTAACCGAACTATGGGGCAATATTTCCCAGATTGCGGCTGTATTTGGTAACAGGGGCTGGTTAAGTATACCCAGATTTTTAGTCTGGAGCTGTTCTCCTCATAACCGCACAATACGTAATATTTGAATGGCTCCAATGATTGCTCTAAAGGAATGGCAATACTAACAGATCCCAAGAAAAAATTTTTTTCTTCAGAAAACTGAAAATTAAGATTGAAAATTATTTTAAATGTATCTTTTTTATCATTGATTTTATATGCACTGGCGGTTATCACATTATTCTAAAAATTATTTTTTTTCACATTAATTAGTCATTAGTCATTTCACATTAATCTAATTTAGAATCCAAAAGATATAGTCAATAAAACTGGGGAAATTTCTTGTTTTGTTTCATAAGGTTTTGAACGGATGTTAGATCTTTTTGCTTTACTGATTTCTAGCCTGCAATCATTTTCTCGTTAAAAGCTACAGTTTTTGAATAATTTTAGTCCTCGCTGGAGTTATTCCTAAGCAAAAAATAAGTGCAATTGGCGAATATTTTTAAAATTAATGTGCTCAAAAAAAATCAGAACAAAAACGGCACATCCCAAATTCACCTGAATTTCTAGATAAATGTATGCCAGATACTGCTGCCATCTACATACCATAAGCTGAAGTAACAAACGAATTGGTATACGCCGTATCTCACATTCTATTGTCAAAATTTTTTAGAGGAAAAAGAAATATTAATTTCACATTCTTAGTTTTCTGCCTTAAATGAAGTGTTAGCAAGAAATAAGTTTTCCATTTCACATTCTTTTGGTCCAAGTGAGAATAAAAATGAGCTAAACATGATTCAAATGATGTGATTAATATTTATAAAATAAATTTATTAGTTCAAAACTCCATCGATAGATAGTTCTATCGATATATATCAACACATTTTATGAGCTCTATAACTGTTAAGTAGAATTTAATCTAATAAAAGTAGTTATAAATTTGCTCAAATTCCGTTGGGAACATCACACCTTCGTAACAGCTTTGCGACGATTTTTACAACTGAAATGAATTTCAGCTGGTTTCAGTAGAACAAATTTACCAGAACGCTTACAGTGGAATAGTAGAACGCTTTTTCTTGCAATGTAGGCCTAGAAACTACTAGACTTTTTGGAAACTATTTTATAGAATGGTAGGCATTTCAAAATCAAGCTTTCAGAATTTTTGGTAAATTTGCTAAAAGGGTCACTTTGAGAGAGTTGGAACAAAGTGGCGTTGCATATGAACTTTTAAATCATTTATGTATAGTGGTGTGAAAAATAAGTTTAACTGAATTAAAAAATTACACTAAAACTTTTCTTAGCTACCACTAGAATAAGTCTTTAGAAAAAGTCTAGAAATAAGGACAGTCCTGGTAGCTAGGAATGCTAATTTGCATCACTTTGTGAGAAATGTTTTCTACATTTTTTTATCGGTGGCCAATTTTATGTTTTGATAAGTCATTCTTTAGTAACTTTGTTTAAAATTATACTTCCCATCACTACGCAAAAAATAATTTTAAGTATAAATTAAAGGGTACTTAGTATCAGTTAATTTTTGCAGCCAAAGCTTTCTTCAAAAGTCGGCTAAATTATATGTACCACATTTGCAAGACTGTCAATAGCTACGCTTTTTGAAAACTATTTTACAGAATGGTAGACAGGTAAAATCCAAAAGCTTTCAGAATATTTGGTACTTTTGTCACCATTTTAAAAGCCTCAATAACAAGAGTGCTGGAACAAAATGGCGTTGCATATGAGCTCTTACAACATTTATATGTAATGGTGCGGACAAAAAGTTTAACTGAGTAAAAAATAATACATAAAAGCATTAACTTAGTTACCACTAGAATAAAATTTTGCAAAAAGTTGGAAGCCCTCCATTTTTATTTCAAGTTAGTTGAAATCTATTTTTAGGAACATTATATGGTATTGCCAATGGATTTGCTTGCATATCTGGCTTCATAGGACCCATGATTGTTGCTATTTTCATAGCTACTGGCGTAAGTATTGCATTACATTACATTTTTTGGGCATCGGGATAACCTAGTTGGAAGGACGTTGGAATTGTGTTCGTGTGAGCAGGAGTTCGAATCCAGCCGGCTGAAAAGTCCCCATGTATTGAATGATGGCTGGTGCACATTAAATATGTCGGATTCACAAAGTCATCCAAGTTTCCATTACAAATCAATTAGTACTCTGCAGGTACTATATTGGAACATCGGTCATTCTCCGGTTCAGATCAAAATTACTATCTGCGGATGAAGAAAAGGTGTGAGAGAAAGTCCGCCAAATAAAACGGGTTATGACGTATGTGAGAGGCAAAATCGTATTGTTGGTCATAAAGGGCGCCACTGAAAAACAAAAAACGCACCTTCGCCTTAATTTCGAAAGATTTCTATTTTGCTTCCTGGTAATGGCAACACATTCCTTTTTTACTGAATTGTATTATTTTATGTGGCAACGAAATTTAGAACAATCGTTTCCTGTTTTTCATACTACGAAAGAAAGGAATATCAGAAACAAATACACCTTATATTTAGTATTTTTCCAGAGCTTGCGTAAATCACTGTTTAATTAATATAGTTTAATATATAGTTTAATATATTTATTTTATTAATCACTAGTTGCTGCCAAATAATTTTAAATTATATTTATAAATACAATATTGAAATCAGAAAGTATAAACTACTCTACTATTTTAAATTTAAGAACAAACTCTTCCGAAAATCCGTAAGGATTGGCGACAATAATATTTATATAAATAATATGTAAATAAATTTATGTGGTCTTAATTGTTCACAAAATTAAAAAAAAAATTGCTAAAGCTGCAGTTATCAGTACAATTTCATTTCCATTCATTCCCAGTGAAAAACATTCCTTAGAAAAGTGAAATGTTTACTACCATTCTTTTAAAGAGAAAATAACATACCAGTTTCAACTTTAAAAAAAGTTAAATAAATATAAGTAAATTTCATAAAATCCTTTATATATGTAACATGAACAATAATAATACCTGAATTAACTGTTCCACTATTTGGACTGGTTAATGATATTATAAGATAGGTGTTTTTAAACTGTTGTGCGGTTTACAAAAATTTCAAAAACGTATTCTTACATGAATTGCTAGCAATACATTAGCCATTTTATTCCGTACTTCTTAAGTGACGAGAAAGTGGTAGTCAATGTGTTTCTCTATTGAGATTTATGTTTTCATTTTTACCTATTATAATATAATAATAATCACAAAGAAAAGTAACCTTCAACTAATAAAAGCAATATATATTCATGTATTCCCATCAAATTGAAATTTTTCGGTAGACACTTTTAAATTTTGAACAACAATATTTGTCACACTTTTTCCATCACTTAGAAATATTCCAAGGCGTTCCAACCAATATATATATATACAGGGTGGTTCCGAATTCATGGTACAAACTTTAATGGTAGGTACAGGACATTGTAACAATGATTTATTGTATAGGAATGTATAGTCGCAAGTGACGTGGTGAGGCGTAAACTGGAGAAATAACGGCCGAAAGGAAAAACAAAGATTTTATTGAAAGCGTTGTTGACAAGTGTCATGTTTACAGTAAGTGTTCAAAATTGCGTCCACCAGAAGCGATACATGCTTGACAGCGTCGGTGGAGCGATTGGCGTACACGTTCAAAGATGCCTGGTATTTCACGCACACCTGCAGCAGCTACAGATATGCGAGCGACGAGATCCTCATCTGAGTCAACTGGAGTCTCATAAACAAGATGCTTTAGATGTCCCCATAAAAAGTAATCGAGGCTCGATAAATCGGGAGATCGGGGTGGCCAAGGGATTGGTCCACCACGCCCAATCCATCGAGCACCAAACGTGGCATTCAGGTAATTCCGTACATCAATGCTGAAGTGTGCTGGCGCCCCATCGTGCTGAAACCACATGCGGTTACGAATGGCGATCGGAACATCATGCAGCAGTTGTGGTAACACTTCTTTCAGAAAAATAAGATAGCTTCCGCCACTGAGTCGCGTGGGTAGTAAGTATGGGCCAATCAAAAAGTCGTTCACAATACCAGCCCACACATTAATACAGAAACGTTGTTGAAACGCATGTGGACGCGTTGCATGTGGATTATCGGTTGCCCACACATGGGAATTGTGCGCATTAAAGACACCCTCGCGTGAAAATGTCGCTTCATCTGTAAATAGCACATCACCTACGAAATCCGGCTGCAACGCACATTGCTGCATCACCCACAGGCAGAAGTTCACGCGGAGAGGATAATCTGCCGGATTCAATGCTTGTACTTTCTGAAAATGGAAGGGGTGTAAGCGATTTTCGTTTAACACTCTGCATACAGTCTGATGACTCACACCTACGTCACGCGCAACAGTTCTTGTGCTTGACTCGGGTCTATCAGCCACAATGTTCAAGATGCTTTCTTCCAGCCTTGGAGTGCGTACAGCTCTTAATCGACCAGCGTCATGTCTGTTGACGTCGAACGCACCTGTTTCACAAAGTTGACGATGTAACCGTTGAAAAATTCTATGATCCGGCATTCGTCGATCAGGATACTCCGCGCGATACATTCGTAACGCAGCTCTGCCGTTACCATTTGCACGGCCGTACATGTAATGCATGTCTGCTTTTTCTGCATACGTAAAGTCACCCATCGTCTACGGCAGCACAATTGTGAATGGCGCTTTTCCCTACTGCGATGCATCATTTTCAACGGTGGCTAGACATCTACTGCCCTCTACCGGAAATGATATCAACCGATCACTCCATACATGGACATGGTTTGAAATACGTAATTTATAAGATGAACTCAATTCAAAATGCATGTTTATGAAATTAGACAAAGTATTTGATTTCATGTTTCAAACTATATTTGTGACTACTATTTTTTAAAATTATTAACTGATAATAATTTTAAAAGCAAGTTACATCGCGGCTAAGTTTTTTTTTTTAAATTAATAAAAATTTCAAACTGATTTGGTTGGGCTTAAAGAATTTTGATTGACGTTTTACCATTTAAAAGACGGATTTTATATTCTGTCTTTTTTCTTATACACGGGTATTCAGCTCTGTCTATTTTTTAAAAAGCGCATTTCCAGTTACTCTTATTTTCTTAAACACGTGTATTGAGCTCTGTCTATTTTTAAAAAAGCGCATTTTCAGCTACCCTTGTTTTTTTAACGAGTGTATTTGACCCCGACTTTTTTTTAAAAAAAGCGTATTTTCAATTACACCTATTTTCTTAAACACGTGCGTTGAGTTCTGTCTATTTTTTTAAAGGCGTATTTTCAACTATACCTAATTTCTTAAACTCGTGTATTTGGCTCTTTCTGTTTTTAAAAAGGCACATTTCTAGCTATTCCGATTTTTTTAAACGCTTGTATTAATCCCTGTCTATCTTTTTTTTAAAACACGGTTTTCCAGAGATACCTACTTTCTTAAATACATGTTTTGAGCTCTACTTTTTTAAAACCGCTTTTGCGGCTGTTTTCATTTTCATAAACACGCAGTTTGAGTTGTGTTAAGCAAAGAAAGCTCATGAACAGTATGCTTTCGTGAAAAAAATATGTTCTCCTTTTCATTTTCATATTTTCTTACATTCTTTAAAATAATAATTTACTTAGTATCCCTTAGAAAATTAAAATATTTTATGCCATTAAATCAGCAGCATCATTATTAAACAAAACACTGCTTTAAAGTGTTTTTTTTTTAATTTGTAAGAGTCAAAAGGTTTTAACAATATTAAAATGTTCTTGAAATCTTAAACCTTTACTTGATATTATCAAACTGTATGCGAATTTAAAATAAAATTTTGTATTTCAGCCAACTCTTGCAAATTGGAGCAACGTATTTTACATGACAGCGGGACTGTACATATTCTGCGCGACAGTTTTTGTACTGTTCGGTTCCGCAGAATTACAGTCTTGGGGCACAAAGAAAATCCCACAAAACGCTGATCTGAAATTGGAGAACATTGTTATCAACGCTCAGGTGAAGAATGAATCTGAATTGATAGTCAAAGTAAATACTGAGGATTTGAGGACTTCAATGTGATTTTCGTGCCTTGAAATGTATTTGCTAAGCAATCGCAAAAGGTATATTCATCTGATTTTGTTATTAACATACACCTGCTCAATACTTAAAAATATTCATTTGCAAGTTCTTTTTATGCCCGCACCGATGTAGTCTGTGAAACAGAAACATGATTAATAACACGTTTAATGTCTTGCCCGTCTGGTCAAACGGTAAATTACTACAAACTAAACGCGCAAAAATTGTACAGATTTTGCTAGTTTTAAAAGATTTAGCACGACTTATCAGAAAAGTGGTGAATTATATAACCCTACGAATTGTTCAGAAATAGTGGCGGATAAAGATATTTTAATTTGTATTGATTAAACCAAGAATCATAATTAACAAACTACCACTTGAAAATATTTATTCGCTATCCGGAGCAAGTTGGCATCTCTGTGTATATAAATAAAACCATTTTTGTTTGTTCTATATTGCATTAATTTCTTTGAACCATTTTAGTAACGATAATAATATAAAAAAAAATTAAAAATTTACTCGAATTATGTGTTTCTAATAATCTTGGCTTCGCTGGTCACCGGTGATCCCGTGACGCTACGAACAAACTCAGCCTCGGTCACTACTGATCCCCATGGCATTCAACGTGTTAACTACTTAACTGTACCCAGACATGCCAACTTGCTCCGGACAGAAAATATAGATTTTAAAGTGGTAGTTTATCAATTGTGATTCTTGGTTTAATAAATGCAATTGAGTAGATTTTTATCCACCACTATTTCTGAATGATTCGTAGGCTTATATAATTCACCACTTTATATAACTTATGCCATGCCATACCTCTTAAAAAGCAAGCAATAATAGTCAAATATTTGCAAAACATACATTGTAGTAATTTACCGTTTTTTTAATTATTGTGGCGTGTCCGGAGCAATTGGCATCTCTGTGTACCTAGTATACTGTGGAATATCAGTACAATTTCATATCTTACCAGACACGGAGTTTTTCTATTAGCACAAGGCTGCCAACTTTCTACGCTTTTTCTTAATTTGCAACCGAGTATACCCGTAGCACGTTTTTCATAAATGGACTTTTTCTATTAGTTCACAATAAGTCCGGCAGGTAAACGATCTCTTATTTTTTTACAACCACTTTAAATATTATGTGCATTTAGAACTTCTGTAATGATAATTATGTGACTGATTTTACAAAACTGATTTTAAGTATGTAATTCGTTACTTGTGTTGTATTTTTTGTTTTTTTAAACACTTTGTTGCTTATTTGTATTATGTGTTCTTGCATTTCATAAAAGTTCTCATGTGTATATATACATTTCCAATGCATTGACAAATGTCTGTGAGAAATAAAAATAAATCTAAATGAGCCTTGATTTATTCTTTTAGTTGTAGATTCCATATTATAACCATTTATGTAGTATTCATAGATTTTTTTAGTTTTTAAAAAATAAAAAAATGAAATCATGACCTCCAATTTTTCGTCATTTTCCGAAATATTTTAAATCGT